TCTCCACAGCCATAGAAACCGAAGAGGTGTCATCCCTGTCCCCCCATGGATCACCCTCTCTGGTTTGAAATGTACCCGCAGACATTTTCTGCGCTGCCTTAGTGGGCCAGGGATTCGGGCATTGGGGCTGAAAGGGGGGGCCGCCCTCCTGATTAGCCCTAACTACAGTGGCACAAATATTAGAAATGCCTCTCTGCATGACCTGTCTGAACATTTGCAGCATATCCGCTGGATGAATCATAGGCCCATGCGGATCGGGATGCCCCCCCCCAGGGACCAACTCAGGGCCGTGGGAGCGCGGATCGGGGGTCTTACTGCTTCCGTTTGACGCTGTGACACCCAGCAGACCTTCGGGCCCATCTTCGGAATCTCGCGGTGCGGATTCAAAATGGCCGACGGGCCTCTTCGCTCTCCCGCTTTTGGCGGTTTCCTGGTCTTCGAGCGATCGGAGCCGCTTCAGTGTGCGCTGCGTCGCTGCCGCCGTTTCTGCTAGGACCGCTGGGAGGGCACGATCAAGCCCGTAGGGCGAGTTGGCCCCACAGTCCGCCGACGCCGCGGCTCCCTCCCTCTCCTCACCGGAGGAGAAGTCGTCAGCATGCTCTTCGGCCGCACTCATTTTGTCAGCGGAAAAAAGCGCTGAGGCGCTTCTTGCAATGCCAACTTCTTGGGATATCTTGACTCACGCCGGGAAGAAAGGCAAGGTGAGTAATAGGGTGATAGAAAGTAACTAGAAGGAGAAGAATTTAGACTAGAAAGTAAAGATAAACCAGAAAAATAGCTTGGAAATGAGGCAAAGCCTTGACTCTCACTGCTACTCCCTCAGAGGCAGGAATAGAACTGAGAGGCGGGGCTATTCCCAAGGCGCCAAAAGGAAGGAGAAAAAAGTGTTTCCTGCCTCCCTGAAGGAATGATGGGAATAACCCAATGGAGATGTCCTCCGCCTCAGAGGGAGAAACTTGTACTTTCTGGACCAAAACTGGAAGGCATACACATGAAATGCATCTGTAACTGACTCAAGGCTAATCTCAAAGAGGCCTCACAATGATATTTTTCTTGTGTCATTTGATTTCACGTTGGAAAATTCCTTTTTTGATCCTATATCAACTTTACTGCATATATGTACCTTTTAGTGTTTTACCTCTGAGGAAGCCCTACTGGGCCAAAACATGCTAGGTCATAAATGTTTCCACTTGTGCATGTGTCACTATGTTATGAGGCTTGATTTGGGCCTTGTACGTTTTTAAATGTCTTGGCAATAAATATATGTATTTTTACTTATTATTATTCTATACTTAAGTTTTAACCATAGGCCCCCTATTTGTTTTCTAACTTACCCTCATGGTTCTTGGTTCCATTTTGTTGGGTTGAAAAAAAAACCCCACACACCTTTTTCTTCACTCTCAAGTAGACAATTCAGCCAGATAAATATATACTAGCTCAGCAACTTATTTTAAAAATTATTTTAAAATACTGGAGAATAAGCAGCAGTTTGGTCAACGCTTTAAAATGAATAGTACAGCAGCATTGTATGATATCCCTAGCGATGTTTTTATTGAACAGGCTTTCAATATTTCTCCAGCAATAAGAGTACAGTTCACCTAAGGAGGCAGATATTCTGCAAATTTCCCTTCTTTATTGCATCATGGGGCAAAAACTCTCCCAAACCCTACTCTGTGTATTCTTCAAAAAATTCCGGTCCTTCCTTCATAATTCTCCCCCTGTCCCAAGTTTCTGATACTCTGAGGGTGACAAATCAGGATGAGTTTTTTTATCAACCCTCTGCTTCGGCATTTTTTGGGGTGATGGCTGTTCTTCTGTAATGTCACATACTCAAATCGGATTGTTCTGTAAAAATATCTTTTTATCTTAGTGATGGTACCACTGTGCAGCAAAGTTAATTCAGGGTAAGGACACACATCTGTTTCCCTTCCCCACACTGCCAGATCTCACAGTATTACTAAGGAGGAGGAGGACAATTTTCAAACAAAAAAATGACACTAAAGCTGCAGCTGATCATCTCAGAGTGCCCGAGACCTGTTCACAGTCTCAAAGATCAACTTTCAGGAAAGCATATCTTTCAAGAATTGCTTTGAGGTCCTTAAAAGCTCCTATTTATGCTCAAAATGCTTGCCCCTGAACATACTATACAACCCTCAGTTTCCAACATGGGAAGCTTTGCAATGGCTGGACAGATAGGAATAGGCTTCCATGGAAAGAAACATACCTCAAATGCAATTATGAAGCCAAGGCGGATGGCCAGTAGATTCCAGTAAACTAGTGAATATCTGCCACTGGGTTCTCTGTATGCTCGGTATCTGTGAAGATAAACATATGTAAATACCAAGTTATGATAAAGTAGCCACAACAATCAACACGTCCAACAATTTTTATTGGTTCTCTTAATGCATTCCTTATAAACCAGTACTAACAAGCATATCAGCAAAAAATAATAATAATAATGGAACTAAGCTCTGACTGCCAGACTGACATAATGGCTCCAGTGTACTTAGTTGAACTACTCAGAGTTCTGGTTATGCTATGCACACTTTGCTGGAAGTAAGCATCACTGAATACAGTGTAATCTATTTCCAAGTAAGCTTGCATAGGGTTGCACGTCTTACTGTATTCAGTTTGAACTCCTTGGTGAATGTAAACAGTATGTTAAGCACTTTGCATATGAAGATTAGCCACCACACCATATGTACTTGTCTATTAAGATAAATGTACACACAAAAAAGTTGAAACGTGCCATTCCACGTGTTACAGGCCAAGACCCTCCCTTAAAAAGATCAACTACCCACTTTCTCATAATACCTGATCTTACAAAATAATTTATTTTGTATTCCAAACAGGATAATTATTTACTTATAAGCCATTCTTGAGACCCTATTATATCTATAACAATTTTTAAAGCAGTGGAAGCTATCCTTAGCCAACAGATGTAACACAGAAAAGCAGGAGATCCTACCTGCAGGTAGCATTGTTCTCCAAGACAAAGGATTTGGGGGCATAGGCCAAGGTGAAATCAACATAACCCTGTAAATTGCTGGCACGAGTGTACTGGTAATACAGTCGAGGGAGGAAGTCACATGAGAAAGCAATCAGATAGGAGGAGCAAAACAGCATCTCATTCTCCCAGCACTACTTCCCACTCCAGTTGTTTAGAGATGTGCACACAAGACTTACTGCCTTGTTCCAACTCTCGGTGCAAGCGTTAATTATACTTCTGCAAACTTCAGTGAAAGCATTACCAAGGCTTTCAAGATCCAGCAATAATTCTAATGCTAAATTGAAACTAAATCTGCATCCTGGCCCTGATGACCTTTGCAACCTGTTTACTTTGGCTCAGAATTTAAAAGAAGCCATTGAGATGAGCTCCATGTGAAGCCCCCAGTGGGACAAAAAGCAGCTCTCCTGGGCCCATTTCAATTTAGAAAAATGGCATGGAGTGGGCCAAAGCACCCTCTCAACATGCATTGTGGTCCTGATCTGAATCAGGTCCTTGCGTCTCAGAGCTGCATTCCCATAAGGGAACTCCCAAAACAGCAAATTCCCATAGCTGACACAAAGACAATTGTTAATGTGTACTTTGACCCTTAAGCTCATTCCTTTCTGCACAACTGAGGGAAGAAGACCAGAACTGGCTTCACTTTATAACTACTAATTAAGACCCTGTACGGAAGGAGCCCTGACCTGGTTAGCCTGATCTCCTCAGATTTCAGAAGCTAAGCAGGGTCTGTCCTAGTCAGACCATCAAGTAATTCCAGGGTTGCTATGTGGAGGCAGGCAGTGGCAAACTACCTCTGAATGTCTCTTGCCTTGAAAACCCTGCGGTGTTACCAATGCCATAAGTCAGCTATGACGTGACGGGGGGGAAGGAGTGGGCTTCAACTCTTCTTCCTGCAAGTAGGCAGCTTGTATGACTGTTCTCGCATGCATTTAATGTACGACCTTGCTCTTGAATGCACTGCCCCTCAGCAAAGAGCCATGCTTTCCCAAACAACAGAAAGAGGTCTGCCATTGGGATCCATCATTAAATCCTCATTTGCTCCAGTGAAAGGAAGCAGCAAACATACAGTCAAGTCACAAGCATTCACAAGGCAAACACAAGGCTGTTGTTCCTAGTAAAGATCTCCCAACAAAACTGCATTTCTTGTGCTCTGCAGGCTTCCCTTTTATCTCAGTGCTGCTCACATTGCTGATAACTGCCAGGTGTGTGATGACCTCCAGGATATTGAACCAGATGCCAATGCCTTGGGCCCGCTCCACAACTGGCCGCCGATATTCACAAACAAACTTCTGGGCATCCAGGCGTATTTCCACCCAGTTGTTGAGCAAGGCAAAGAGAGGTGCCAATGGGCAGGCAGCCACAAAGATGGTGATGAAACCAAACTGCAGCACTAAGGGAGAAAGAAGAAACATTAGCTCCCATGGCAGGGGAGGAAGGCGAGGGCAGACACATGCCCTGCAACAGAAAATAAGGGTGGTTTCACCTTAGACCAGTGATGGCGAACCTTTTAGAGACCGAGTGCCCAAACTGTGACCCAAAATCCACTTATTTATTGCAAAGTGCCAACACGGCAATTTAACCAGAATACTGAGGTTTTACTTTAGAAAAAACAACTCATATATTAACTTAAGATGATCCAAACAAAGTAAGGAAAGCAATCCCAAATGCTTTCATTTACATAAAATTATTTGGCAGAGAATTCAACACTTTAATGATGGTCTGGGCCTGGCTGGGGCGATGGCACATGTGCCCGCAGAGAGGGCTCTGAGTGCCGCCTCTGGCACCCGTGCCATAGGTTCGCCACCACTGCCTTAGACTTTTACAACTAAGACAGGAAATGCTCCATAATCACACTTTTATTTTGACCTGGATAAAGCTGATTGCCTTATATCTAACACAAACTAAAAAGCTAGGTACAACAGCTGGAGATCTGTGAATGGATCTCTGATTTGATTTATTGGATTTCTATTCCGGCCGAAGCCGGTTTTTCTTAAGAGTTATCCACCTGAGGATTTTGTGCTGCTGAAGAATCGCTCTTCCACAATCAGCTGGAAGTGGAATTGAAACTACGTTTCCACACACCAATTAATATAGCCCCTAGAAATAAAGCTATGTCCATCCCACAGGCAACATCTTACTTCATATTTTAGGACCAGGTCAGCAAAGGTTTCACTTCTCTCTGCAATTTTCCTTTTGATTCTTTGGGTTACAGCCTAATTCATTTCTTTTTTTTCTCCAAGAGGATGGCCATGATGTTCATAAATCAATTCTTAATTATCAGTTCTTGTTTGGGATAGGTGTGGTGGCGAGAATGGCAATTAACTATTGCTTTTCACTTTGCAGGTAAAGATGCTGGGTTGTATTTTATCACTCCGCTCAGCTAAGTGTGGAGCCCTCCCTGGATAGGATAGGCACTGGAGGAAGGCTCTGCCCTTAGCTGAGAGGTCAAATACAAACTACTGATTTATTTATTCATCATCATAACACTACAGTGGTCATTTTAAAAATAACAATGGCTTTGACTGCAAAGTGAAAAGCAATGTGTAACACCCCTCCAAACAAGAACTGATAATTTTTTAAAAAAAATCAGAAACCTTCGATTTCTTCTTAAATTAAAGCAACCATGTTTCTAGCTATTTTAAATTATGGAAGTGTAAACTGACTACATCCTGTAACAGATTTGGAGACAAATTGCAAGCTGAATTTCTATCTTTTGTATGTGTCTTCAGTGGAAGGAATGGCAAGACATTCACTCTGTCCTTCTATAATCACTTGGTGCCTGCAGCAGTTTAAATCCACAATGGATGGATACTTATGCTCAAGTGACTTATGCAGGGCTTACTGTTGTCAGGAACAGTGTTTGCACTGGGTCATGTTATGCCATACCAGAGGTAAGAGGTATCTATCTGTCTTCCAAATTGGACCTGCAGAAGTCACTAATCTACCTGTGGTGCAGTTTTGTCCATTTTACAAAAGAACTTCAAAAACGAGTGAAGTGAACTAATACATTTCAGCTGTGTGGGTTTTAGTGCAAAATTCCAGAACCATTCTGGTTTTGGTCTGAAGAGCATTGCAAATCAGTAGAATTTATATACACACCTTGGAACTGTTTTCAGAGAGTAAGTACTGCCTTATACCTCCTATGCCAATGCCCTACCTTGTTTGCAACCACTGACATTAATATGGAGATGTCGCATGCAATTAAGATAAGGGACTTTTAAACATGATGCCCACTGGGTAGCATTATGTCATAGCCAAAAGCTTTCAGGTAGCATTCACACAGGGCCTGCAACTTTTCAAATCAGCCCTAACATAATATTGAAACATTTTAAAATTCCCTGGCTTTTTAGACAGCTGGAATGCACCAATTAGATGTTACCAGTGAATGGTCTATAATTATTTTTATTATCTGCCTTTTGCGCCTCTAGATGACTCATACCCATTTCCAGGTATTCAGCAAACAACCCATCATAGGGCAGCAGTTCGTAATCTTTCTCCCAGAGGGGATTCATGAGACCTTCCGGATCCTCCTTACTCCACCTGTTTTTTGAGAGAAGATTCCGCCTATGCCACCAAGTTTTCACCTTCCTAGAGAGAGCAGAGGGACACCGTTACCAGAAGATCAAGGCTTCTTCCTTTCTCGATTAATAGACTATACAAGGAATGCCCAATTTATGTCCACTTTGTTTCATCCATCACAAGCCAAAAAGTTTTCTGGCCCCAGATCTCCAACATCTTGTGCAATTGCATTGTAAAGTTTTGTACAAATCTGTGAGAAAGCTGCTTCCCAGATAGTGGGTTTAGCCAGACCAAGCTCTCCTCTGTGAGGCATCTTGCTATTTAGCCTCCATGCCTAAAGGTTCACCAGCTGCCCATAGACAGGAACTCACGTAAAGAGCTGGCACACCACTCAGCGTGATGTGGCAAGCTCCTGCACAGACCTAGTCACTAAAAGGACAATGCAAGTGAGCTAGTCCTTGGGAAGCCAATCTGCAAAGGCGGGGGGGGGGGGCCCTCCTAAACTAAAGTTCCCTTAGGGAGCTCAGCTCTTGAATTTAGGTTGGAGTTAGGCCCTTGAAGGGAGTCAGGCTTCGAAGCTAAGGTGGGGAAGCTGGAGTTCCATTAGATATAGTAGACATTTTCAGAAACCTGGTGGGAGAGGACAAACAAGCAAGCTATAGCTATCCTGGGGTGGGGGGGACGGGACTATGTATGAATACGAAGGCTGCATGCCAAAGAGTGCACAGAATCTAATCAATTACACATTATTAGACCCCCCCTTAGAGGTGGAAATATCAAGTCCATATTAGGGGCAGAGTGTGCATGTGTCTAACCATCTGCAGACTTCACAGAGAGGAACTTTGCTGCTTCTCCTGCCCATTGCAGCCCACTGAACTCACTCCCCACCAATTTTAATTTTGCTCCTAGGGTTAGCAGAGCCACAGAAGCAGCTCAGAGTTGACATGCCAAACATACAGCCGCAGGCTGGAACTGACCTGTCCAGGGCTCTTGTCCAGCCTGCGAGCAATTGGGAGGAACTAGTCTGAATGAGGACCAGAAGGAAGCAATTTTCTCCAAGCCAGTTTGGCCAGGGATCCTGGAGGGCTTTGTTTTTGTTTTGCCATCTTCTGGGCATGGAGCAGGGATCACTGGGGTGTGGAGGTAGTTGTGAAGCTCCTGCATTGTGCAGGGGGTTAGACTAGATGACCCTGGTGGTCCCTTCCAACTCTGTGATTCTATATTAGGGTATTATACCTGCTGCTGAGGTCCCTCCCTTCCCCAAATGCGGGCCCTCCCCTGGGTCTTCCCCCTGATCTCCAGGGACTACCCAACCCAAAGTTCGCGAGTATAAGGGGCAAGGAGGGCTGGTTTGGCCCCGAGCAACCAGCTGCCTTGGGGCCTGCCTCCTGCCCTTGGCCGAGATGCTGGGCTAGGACATCCTGCCTGCTGCCACTGCCTCCTCTGGCCAGAGCGCATTGGGTTCTGTGTCTGCTACCTGGGCTGCTGGAAAGGTGGCTTGCTGCTGTTCATGTGCAGCAAGCAGAATCTCTTTGGCCCCGCCTCCCCGAGCCCAATCAGCGCTACTAAGAGTATTCTGCATTGTATGTTGTGCGTACTACACAGTATGTGGCCTGTATGGCCTAAGGGGCTATTTTGTTTTTAATGAGCTATTTGGTATACTGCAATATTGAAGATATATTTTGTTTAATCTTTTTTATATATGTTTGTAACATCAACCTTTTAGGTATCCAATTCCGTTTTTGAGTTGGCTTGGGTTTTTGCTCCTTCTTTTGTTTTGATTACATTTTATGGCACACATGGCCTGGCCCAACAAAATGACATTTATGTCAGATCTGGCTCTCGTAACAAATGAGTTCAACACCTCTGGCTTAGAGGGGAAAGTGGGGGTCTGTAACAAAAGAGGGACATCAGCACTCCCAGTTACCCCCAGGCATGTAAGCACTTACTCAGTAACGTATGAACCAAGAAATTACGTATATGGCTGAATGCAGTTACTGTGGTTGCAGTGGCACTTTCCCCAGTGTAATGCTAAGTTAGAGTGTCAACCCAGGACTGGGAAGCCCCTGCTGAGCCATGGGTGATCTTGGAACAATCACTCCGTTTTAGTCTAATCTAACTCACAAGATTGTTGTGAAGACAGAATGTAAGGAAGAACTATATATGCTGCTCCCATTAGTGGACTGGTCCACATGACCAAGGACAGCCACACACCCTTGTATAAACAACCCCCCCCCCTTTGGAAATCAACCTTAAAATACACTACAGTTAACTTCTGAATGCACATCCCAGGTTTACATGACTCTAGCAAAATACAAAGTTGCAAGACTGTACTCACGGGATGAGGATCTCCTGTACATTGTTAATTATTTGCTTTCCTACCATGATGACCAGCAGCTCCTGGGCAAGTTCAATGAGGCAGCCACCTGGTCCACACTGGACAAATAAGAAGAAGCTTTAGAACAAGAGGTGCTTGACTATACCAAACGAAGGCTCACATGACAGAATGCCCCTTTAAATACACAAAAGAATGGCTGGATTCCTATGGCTGTAGCTTTCAGGGAGAACGCTAGGCTGGAACCCTTCTTTGTGACATCTGGTTTCCTAGGCACAGGTAAGGATTAATACATGTGTGGATTCCTGTAATATTTATTCCTGTGAATGTAGTACAGTCCTGACAGACCACCTTACCTGCTGTTTGAGAGTTCTTAGTTCCCTATTCCTTCAGTACACTACTCACAGTGTACCTGTGCCTCGTGACAAACTAAACCAGTCTTAGAAATTTCCATCATAGGAGAACACACTGGACCAGGCAGGGTAAATCTGGCTAGAAACATGGAATGGCTGGAAGATATGTTGATGAGATATCCCACTCTCACTGGGCTTGACATTAACAAAGCTTCCCTCTTCATCTGTCTTTGGAATGGCTTATGAGGTAAACCCAATTTTCTCGACAAGAGAGTTTCTTAGGGGCTGCTAGATCCACATACCATGTCCTTGTCTCTTGTGAGATACTTACATCCTCATTACGGATGCCAAGCAATTTGTTGTAGTGTCCTGGATAGCCTACAAACCTGGAAGTGAAGAAGACAAGCCATTCAGGCCTCTAGCTTATACGCCCTCCACCATGCATACTGCGAAACGCAAGTGTCATTTACCGTAATGTCATTTAGTATAATGTCCTTGCCATAAGACAGAATCACCCAATGACTATAACTCCTATTTGATGCAACTTTTTTTTGTGTCTTGGTAATGAGATGAGGATCTAGTTTTCTACTCCAGTGATAGTAGGCTACAAAAAATTACACGCCATACCCTCTTGCAGACAGCAACTGTGCTATTGCCTAGGATTTATCGGTTCCATCCTGCTGACACTCTTTCCCCCCTCTTCAGTCTCCAGCAAGTGCTGTATCATTACTCCTACATTTTCATACTTTATTTCTCAGCATTATCTTATATTTGCGTAATTGCACTGAGTGTAACGGGGGCTGGAAAACTGCATGGTAAAGATTTTGAGCCCAACTTGCTGCTTAAAAAGATAATTCCTTCTTGTAGTAATAAATAGGGCTCAATCTCAGCAACTGCATAACAATCAACCAAGATCCAAACGGCAAATCTCTCTTTTCAGTTAAAGGCAGACAGCTGTCCTGAAATCAGATCAAAGGATATCTGTAAAAGTTCCTTCTTACAGAACACTCAGTAGAAGCGGATATATTTATCCTTTTCCAACCCAGTGCAGTCTACAGCATACACTAGCAAGGCAGTCTGCAACATGAAAACTGCATTCTAAAGATAAAACTACAAAAGAAGCCTAAAAATAGCCTGACTGCACTTTAAAAATACCATCTAACCCCAATGGTAAATCCAGCATCTTGTAGGATCAGCACTATGGGTCAGACTCTTTTTAGGCCCTTTACATATGTTGTAGCCATTTTCCCTCCTAACTCTTTTATAAGAAGCGTCACCAAACCCGACACAACCCATTCCCAAAGTTCCACTGGTGAAAGAATTAGAGTCCAGTGCGGTAATTGGGAACCTGTCTTTGTGCCATTTTATTTGTGGAACAAATCCCAAAACACATGATGTTTCTTTTCTTCAAATGTAAGATTCCCACAGCCCTTGTGGTTGCAGCACTGGCATGTTAAAAAAAGGAAGCCAGTAAAAAACATCAAGGATGTTAGCATTATGGATCGTCACTCCTGATTTTAATTCAGCTTCTTGAACTGGGTTTGTCAATATTGCACCTGGACCAACATGGTCTAAAACTTCACTTACAGGTTTTTGACTCATCTTTCTGATTCATAAGGGAAAGACTGCATTTCTTCTCCCTCTTGACCAGGCTCAAGACATTGTTTCTAACAGTCTTGACACCCGCATTTCATTGTAAGTCAACATACAATGCCCATAGGTTGTTTCTGTATAAGTCACCCACAAAGGAGTACACCAATTGGAACCTGATACAAGTCTCAGTGCAGAATTCATCATCACACTCTAAGCCTAACTACATGTTACACATCAATTTTAATAAAAAATCTCAACAGACTTGGGAAATGCTTAAGCTTTGTCTACCTACTTCTTTTCTGATACAGGTAACCTCTACTAACCCTGTGGGGTTCCAAAATATTTGCTTACCCTTAGAAGGGAGTGGCTCAGAGACAAAATTCAGAGCAAATCAGCAGCAGGAAGAGAAGTTAAGTAGCCTCCCTTCCCTTCCCTTCCCTTCCCCGGGACTTATCTTCTATGAATCACACCTCTCCTAAAGCAGCTTTTTTTGCCCTCCCTCCCTGCCCAGCACCTCCAGGAGTCTGTCATATGTACTGGTCTGTAACATTTTGTTAGACCTCAATATAGCACCCAATACTTATTTATTTACACATTTTAGCCCATCAAAATTTAGCCAAATATAAAAACAGCAGCATAAGAATGAGCAATATCCAAACAAGTCAGAAGCACAAATACAGCACACACACATTCAGCAACCTAAATATCCATGAAACAGTCCTCAAGCTAATAGCCTGGCCTCAAGCCCTTTATGGCCATCAATATAAGAACCAGCACTTTGAACTGTACCTGCACCAATTCTGGTTGGAGACTGAAGCCCACCAGCTATGCCAAACAGATGGCCACTGGCACCCTGCAGTGACTAAGATACAGGCTTTATGTTGTCTAGTACTACTAAGTATTTAGCATACACAGTCTCCAAATCCAAATATCTCCTGTTTGGTTTGTACTACTGTCCTTCACTCATTTATATTATTTCTGGCCAGCAGATGGCAACAGGACTCCACATATTCCTATCTTCTCCAATATCAACTAATTGCTGGTAGAACAGCTGCTCAGTTTGCAATCCTGACTAAAACTCTTTGGTGAAACAAGCTACCAGACTCCTGTTTCCACTGAATGCCAACCTGCACAGAAACCACTAAAGGCCTTCCCCTTGGCATGAGGGCTTAACAACTGCTCAAACCATTCTATACCTACAGAATGATCACCTCATAGGTTCATGATAATGATTAAAGGTCTGTGTGCCCATAGCATGGGCCAGCCAACCCTGCCACTTGAAAGGGTGGAACTCTCCTCCCCGTTCAGCCGTGTGGCACTTTCAGTTGTTACATGTTGACAGGATGTCATCACGCCATTGGGAATTATAGCACCAAGCATTACCTGAAAACATTGAGATGTGCTTGGACCAAGTGTCAGTGGTACAAAACAACCTTTCAAGCTCCTTCTTGCACCACAGAGAAAAACTGCCTCCCTTTTGAGATGCCCAAACAACTTACCTGCCCTTGAAGAATGCAATGTAGATGGGAGAAGAGTAGAAATTGACAAATTCAAACACAAACACCTTAAAGGTAAAAGCATCTTCATACATGGTCTGAGTGCGATGCATTTCTGTGGAAGGAAACAAAGGGGTGCTATGAGAGTAGTGCTTCTGTTCCCACTGGTATATCATGGCAACTGCATCCTTAGTTTTCTGCCTGGTTCTGAATGGCTCAAACTTTCACTTTCCCCATTCTCAAATCATCTTCATGGTAAAAAATCAGTCGCAGGCAACAAGAACCTTCATGTGCAATTAAACGGTGTGGTTGAAGCGGGCAAAAACAGATTGATATCATGGCAAAATCTTACAGATTTTGTGCAAAACATTTCACCCACACCAATGCAGGATCTTCAGAGTTCAGGGAAATCATGTGTCCTCCTTGCATTGCTAGTTAAACTGATGACCACTCAAATCCACTGCAGCTGGGAACCCAAACGTGTAGAAATGCTTCCTCAGCTGTTGCTTTGCGGGATGTAACAGCTTGTCGAAATATTATCAATATAGTCATTGGGTTACATCTTTCTCTCAGTGGCAGTTTCATCACTTTTATATTATGTTCTCCCTGTAACTTTATATCAAAAAGGCATGAGGAGAAGAGCAGTGGACACAACGATGCCATCACGTCTAGCTTGGCCCTAAGAAGAGTATACTAGTATGGGCACATGATGTCTAGTTATGCAGTGGAGCTCAAAACCCTCATTAGTTTCTCTTATTCCCGCCAATGATATAGGTGCCTCCATTTGAAATAAAATATATAAAAGCATACAGGCAATCTTGGATACAAGGTTGGTTATTCTTCTGGCTGCTGTTCAGGGGACCTTGATTACTACTGAAGTATGCTATTTTGGATCATTATGGAGGAAGGAAGACTATATCCACCCATATTGAAAGCAATAAAACATTTATATCTTAATTATGGAATCACAGATGGGGTTATGTAAAAGAAATGGCAGAACCAGATAGTCTTGTGGTATTTGTTGACAAGGCATTCAAGCAGCACGGGGGGGGGGGGGGGGGGGGGCAACCCTCCCCCGAAGGAAATTCTGAACAATTCCGGTATCAAACACCTGAAATTATACAAATTTTGGAATGCATACCACAAGGTATAGATAGGGACTCCGAGGCAAGTGATGCTCTGTATTTTTGGTGCTTGGGGGGGGGGGGTCAATAGTGTGAGGGCTCCTAGTGTTCTGGCCCCACTGCTGGACCTCCTGATGGCACCTGGTATTTTTGGCCACTGTGTGACAGAGTGTTGGACTGGATGGGCCATTGGCCTGATCCAACATTGGCTTCTCTTATGCTCTTATGTTCATGGCCTCTGAAGAAGACCTCAGCTGATGAGCATATGGGACCTTAGTGTGAAAACAGTCAGCTTGTGTACATACACAAAAATATGGTCCCCTTTGATCTGGAAAGGGTGCTCAGCATGCTGATACAAACATCTCTCAGAGTTTCTAGTGCCTTGCCCTCCCCGGAGCTGTTTTTATGCTCAAAAACAAACAAGGATTTTGTTGTTGTTGCTTTTTAAAAAAATTAATAAATTATACATTTAGACAATTACAGGTACAATAATGCAAGTGATGTTTTAAAACAAGCAAGAACTCACTCCAGAAGTGCAGGAAAGACAATTCAGCCCCTGTCATCAGTCAGAGAAAGACCCCATCCTCTCTCACTCCCTGGAATACCACAGCAAGGGGAAGACTCCTCTGGCTCCAGCCACCCATCAGAGAATGAGCACCTGAAGAAAGCTTGCTCCTCATTCCCCAAAAGAAGGCAGCCATAACTGCCACAGGCTCCGAAACTACAGAGGAGAGGAGAAAAACACTCCAGCCTCTGTCATCAGCCAGAAGGCTGCAGGGTCGCTGCTCCATCTGCATACAGGCAAGAACACCAGCGAGGGACGATCAGACTGGCCCCACCTGGATACCTTCACTCTGATGCTGTCAAATCTCCCTCTTCTGTCGCCTCCCCACCTCCCCTTGTGTGTCTTATATTTTTAGTTTGTGAGCCTGAGGGCAGAGGCTTGTCGCTCTTTATTTATGGGAGCTGCTTCGGGAGACTATTGTCTGCAGAGCCAGAGGTATGACAACAGCTCACCAGAGGCATTGATTATACATCCCAAAGTAGATGGAAACTGAAAATTCATTTGCAAGCAGAAGATATGTGCTCAAACTGCTTCTACCAGGTTTCAAATGTCGGTCTCCCTTCATCCCATCATCTTTACTGTCTTTAGCAGCTGTTCTCAGAATGGATTGAGCAGGGGGGGGATTACAAAAGGTAACATATTCTGGTTTCAAGAAGCTGGATCTTGAGCAGGAGGGGGTGGGGAGAGATGCAGCTCCTTAACCCAGTCCACTTACCCCACTTGGTGAGAAAGTGTGCCAGGGCAAGGTAAATTCTGGAAAGGATGAGGATGAAGATTAGGTTCACCACTGAGCCTGTAATGCTGGCAATACGAGAGGCCTGAAGAAAGTAACAGGAGACGGGATTGTAGAGTCCAAATTAAGTGACAAAAAAGAGAATGGAAAACAGTCACACAGAGATGTCTTACTGAAGCCACGACGAGGAAGTTTCCAGACCTGGACACGACCACAGCAATGATAGCCCGGTACAGGATGATGGAAATCAGGAACATCACCACCACAGCAATCTGCAGGCATGATTGGTCGGAATTACTAGCAAGAAAACAAACCCTCAGAACTTCATACAGTGCTTTAGAGTGTTCAAAGAGCTACACATTCACTACCTCACTAAATTTTAGAACAATGCTATAAAAGTCAAAGTAGATGTTACATGTGACAGAACCCCTAAAGAAAAAGTTGCTTCCAGTGGGGCAGCTGGGATCCAAGAAGTAGTTCAGTAAGGAACAGCAATTTGGACTAAAAATGTGTGCAGAGACCCAGAGCTGGGGGGGATGGGGGGAGAATCTTGAATTCAGGACTGGAGAAGCGGCGAGATTGCCCCTCTGGAAGCTTCTGTGGGTTTTTTTGCTTGTTGAAAGGTGGCCACTAGAGAATGTTGCATATGTTTGTATTTAACATCTTGTTTGCTCCTCAGTTAGGAAGACATTATTTCCATACTACAGATGCAGAACTGAGACAGAGACACAGTTTTGCCTAAGTCCGAAGAGTTTGTGGCTGAGGTGAGTTTGGAGCCCGGAACTTCTCCGGTCAGCATCATAGTGACTAAACTATACCAACTATGGCACCGCACCACAAATCAGCCCCACTGAGCTCTTCCTGACTCAAGAAATCCACACAACTGAGAAGCTGCCACCATAAGGCATTCTGTCTCATTTTTACTCTGCCCTTCCTCCATAGAGCTCAAGGCAACCCACATCATTCTTCTCTCCTTCATTTTATCCTTACGACAACCATGTGTTGGTAGGTTAGGCTGAGTGTGTGCGACTGGCTCACAGTCACCCCACCAGCCATATGGGCTGAGTAGAGAGGTCAGCCTGAGCTTCACCCGTCCTGCTCTGGCACTCTTAAGCACCAACGCTGACCAATCTGATTTATGATGGATTCGTATTACCATGTTTTAGGGAAAGCTCCTATTATTGTTGTTGTTGTTATCATATGGCATTATGTGTAGAATAGCCAGGAAATCCTAAGATTGTCTGGAGGCCAGCGGCTCTAGCTCTTTAGTGTTATGTACCACTAGGTGGTGAGCTAGACTTGTTTTTAAGGCAAGAGACGTTTCAGAGGTGGTTTGCCACTGCCTGCCTCTTTGTCATGACCCTGGTATTCCTTGGAGGTCGCCCTTCCAAATACCAGCCAAGGCCGACCCTGCTTAGCTTCCAAGATCTGATCGGATCAGGCTAGTCTGGGCTATCCAGATCAGGGCAGAGAAAGCTCCTTTACATGTTTACTCAAAATATAGAAGTAATTAAATCCATTATGGAATAAATCCAGCTGCTGGGTTATTTGCAAGTCACTGTATGAAAGCAAAAACTCTGTCTGCATTCATCATGAGATCACAGATCAGGCATTCCACTGATGCCACAGCCATATAATATTAGCACCATGGGTCCATAGGTAATCAGATCTTGATGGAGGGGAAAAAATCTAGACAACAAAGATCATAACCATTTAAAACCAAAAGAATGCAAATTCCATTTACTGAGGCTCTCCAAGGTTTTTCTCTTGATTCAACAGGAGAAGTCAGCCCCACACCAAATCATGTATCTAGCTGTGGCTATGCTGGTTGTTCCAAGGGAACTCTCCCACTTGTAGCTGAGGTGCTCATTGGAGAGTGAACAATTTGTCTTAGCAGACAAGGAAATTATGACTTTGCTTTCTGGGTCGCCACTCTCCTCTTCCCAAGTTCTATTTTTCACCAGGATAAGAGAAATTGTATTGGTAAGTCAAAGGTCAAAGAAGTAGGAAGAGGTGACATATTTTATCTTCTTCAAATCCTCCCAGTGCTCCAGTATGGCTTTCTACGAGAACCAGCAAAAAGAAGAGGAGGAGGAGATTGGATTTATACCCCACCCTTCACTCGAAGTCTCACAGCGGTTTACAAACTCCTTTCCCTTCCCTTCCCCACAACAGACACCCTGTGAGGTAGGTGGGGCTGAGAGAGCTCTGACAGAAACTGCTCTTTTCAAGGACAGCTCTGACAGAACAATGGCTTCCCCAAGGGCATCCAGCAGGTGCAAGTGGAGGAGTGAGGAATCAAACCCAGTTCCAGATCAGAGTCTGCACACTTAACCACTACACCAAACTCGCTCTCAAGATTCTCTCCCCCCCCCCCAAAGAGCTGCATGGACTCTACTCATCCTGCCTCAATTGCCACTTATGACCATAACAGTTCAGGGGCAACCAGTGGAATTGCTCAGCTGTTAAGTTTTAAATTAAACTCCATGGCAAAAGTGTACTGTGGCTTTCAGAGAATGGTTTCCCTCATCTCTGCTGCAAGGTTCTAAGGGCTGGAAAAACCGTAGCCAACTTTTTAAACGCCTAAACATGTAGTCCGGCCCTTAGAAAAGGTAAACTGGGGCAGACAGGCAGTTTAAGTTGCTGGGATGTCCCTGATGGTAGAACTTTCCCTGGAGGGCTACCGGCAACCAGGAGCAAGCAGAGCCAGGCCCCAGTAGTTCTGCTTGCACTGCGTGCACTCACCCTGGGTTGCTCTTGGGCTATTTTAACCCCCCAGCCTGCCCTGAAATTAAATGTTCTACTTCTTGTCTGAAAGAAGGCTGATTATCAAAGAAATAAGAGCACCTAAAAGGGCTTTAGTTGTGACTCAGCTCTGTTTGAAACCCCCCCCCCCAAACAGGAGCTCCCTCACCATCATGATGATGACCATCGATCCTGCAATGATTCTGTTGAAGCGATTCTGCCTGGGGAAATATGGTTCTTCCTCTCCAGTAATTGGATTTTTAGTTGTCATGGGAGCCATGGCAGTGAACTGGGGCCGTGGTCGTTCCTACAACAAAGACAATCTGAAGTTTACTCCATGTTAATGTGGGGCTTTAGCTGCATTAACACTTCCCCAAGGCCAGTACCTCAATATCTTCAAAATCTGAACAATCCCAGCGGTATGTCAGGGTGGCATTCATTCGCTTCCAGTACTCAAGGAATGTGACCGCCCACAGAGACATGAAGATACTGAAGAAGACTGTTCCACCATGGTCAAAGAGGCGACCTGCCTGAAAAAGCCAGAAAAGAATTGAAGAGTGTGTCAAAATACATTTGGGCAGGGACAATGGGGCAGTGAGCCAAAGTATATATCATGGCAGTAGACCTACACCTGTAAATCTGGGTCTGTCCCATTTACAAATAAAAGTGTGGAATGGGGGAAGTATCAGCTGAGTAGATGGATCAGAAGGCTGCTGAGCCCTCGGAAAACATGGATCTGCTGCTGTAACATGCTGTTTGGTGCTGAGAGTTATAAACAGGGTTTGTTGTACAATGGATTAAAAACCAAATTACAGAAGATATCTAAGTAATATACAAATACTCATTATGTAATTGTCCTTTCTGTGTAACATTGCTTAGCAATCTTCAAACAGCCAAGATAAGGTAATTAGGTAATATATCTCATGTTTCTTGTGGTCTTAGTAGAACTTGTACATGGAGATTATTAAAGCTATGTTTACATACATGATAGATTTTGGACCATGAGTCACAAAACACACCTTTAAAAAACAACTAATGTTGAAGCAGATAATCTTTTGCGTCAAGGAAATGCAAACTCTACAGCAAGATAATGCAACCCAAGCTCTGCACATGGGCTGGACCTAGAATACCCTCAAGAACAGTATGGGTTCAAAACCGCCCTGAGCCTGCTTGCGGGGTATAAATCAAAATAACAAATAAATAAATAAAACCTCTAGTAGATACAGAAACCTCCCCCTAAAGATTAAAAACCATACAATCACAATGCAGGTACCTTCCTTTGCTTCATAGAACACAGATTTGTTACTCTTCACAAGCAAATGCTTTTCTAGTTTTAAATATCACCACATGCCTTCCTGCTAGTGCTGAAGAAAACATTCCCCTAGTTGCTTGCCCTGGATACTGACTCATAGTGTGCTGTGTACAGAAGATACGGAAATATTTAAAAAGACTTTCCCAAGTAGATTCTATTCTATGTAGTGGGGTGGGAGGGGGATAGTGGGTAGCAAGCCTCCTGCTTGCCTCTCAGCCCCATCATTAGCTTAATCAATACTACAATTCACCATTAAATAAAGTGATGAGTCATTGCCTGATCTTGTTTCCTCTTCGTGATATCAACACTTGCTAATTTGCAATATTTGCACCCATGCAACTAAAAGAAAGGAACAGCACACCATCCCCCCACCCAGGACAGACCGATCCTGGGCTTTAATAATGAGTCATTCATTCTTCTAGGCAACTGCTCAACCTTTCCCCCCTTCTGCGGCTGCAAGCTGCTGAGGGTGAGAACAGAGTTTTGTGTAACTACTCAACTAGAACTGGGAAGGAGGCAGGGGAAGGGAATCTGCCTGGTGATTGGAGTGCCAGCAAGGGAGTGAACGTTGGTAGGCAGGAGAAAGGCACTAGTGGCTGATGCTAGGAAGCCTAGAATCTGGTTCCTGGGGTGGGAAAATGTTTCCCTTCCTTACTGCCCCTTCCATCTCTTCCCCTCCCCTCACTGCTGCTGCTCCTTCAGAGAGAGTGTGAGAATGGGAAGACACCTCTGCAAAATAGGGAAAGGAGGTAAAATTGACCATCTTGTTAGTTTCCCCTTGAAAACAGTGAGGCCATAGCGAAACTTCACTTCAGTACAGGAAGGAAAAGCTAGAGTTTTAAAAGACTTTCCCAAATGTATTCTATTCTATGGAAAAATAGTGGATAAAAGACTGCAAATGTCCATCCAGTTAGCACCTCCATTCACATGAGGAGAAACCACATGAAGGCTGTAATGTAAATGTGATTGTATGGCCATCATGGTGCTGGAGAAGACTCTTGAGAGTCCCCTGGACTGCAAGGAGATCAAATCAGTCAATCCTAAAAGAAATCAACCCTGACTGTTCCCTGGAAGGCCAGATCCTGAAGTTGAAGCTCAAATACTTTGGCCACCAATTGAGAAGGGAGCACTCCCTGGAGAAGACCCTGATGCTGGGAAAGATTGAAGGTCAAAGACGGGGACGGCAAAGGATGAGATGGTTAGACAGTGTCATCGATGCAACGAACATGAAATTGAGCAAACTCCGGAGCATGACAGAAGACAGGAGGGCCTGGCGTGATGTGGTCCATGGGGTCACGAAGAGTCGGACTCGACTGTGCGACAACAAATGAACAGTACCTTAAACATTGGGCAAATTGTGGAGATGTTCCAGTATGGACAGGATTTGCAGAGTGGGCACATCTGGTATTTACCACCACTGTTACAGATTTCATCTCTATAGTTCATACAAAGAGAAGGGGAAAAAGTGGGGAGAAGAAAATAACCTATTTGATTAACATGCCATAGACTCCTTCAATCTCTTCAGAAACTTAATTTCCCTGGTCAAAGTAGATGTGATCTTGGGAGATTCATAAATAGATCATCTCTCACAATATTTTTAAAGTGGAAAAAGCACCGGCATGGGGAAGGGGTGGAATCTATATTAGGGCCACAGAAGGAAGAAGCCTTTTCTGGCCCATCGTTTCCTCAACCTCATTCATGCTCTCTCCCTCAGAGCTGCTATTTGCTCCACAAGAAACATACACCTATAACTATGGTGCCAGTATGTTCCCCCATGGGGCAAATAATAGCTAGAAAGGTTGACTGAAGTACAGTAAACAGCAGAGGGGGACAGGGCAAATGCCTCCACACCCACGGATATTTCCACACAGCCAATCTATTTACAAATCTTCCAGTGTCACATCTAGCTTAGCTCTTTACTGCACTGGGTACTCCATGCACACAACTGATTGAACAGGCACCTGCTGAGCAACAGGCCTTTGATGGGGTGCCTTTGGTGCCAATGTTGGAGGTTAGGAGTTTGGGAGTGCTCCTGGACTCTTTGTTATCTATGGAGGCCCAGGTGGCAGCCACTGCCAAGTCAGCCTTTTACCATCTGCGGCTGGTGCGGCAGTTGGTCCCCTTCCTTGACCGCGGTGACTTGGCCACAGTGATCCATGCGACGGTCACCTCGAGGCTAGACTACTGCAACACTCTCTACATGAGGCTGCCTTTGTCGCAAATCCGGAAGCTGCAGCTAGTGCAGAATGCTGCGGCCAGGCTGTTGACGGGTCTTCCTAGAAGGGACCACATCCAGCCTGTGCTGAAAGCGCCGCACTGGCTGCCAATAGCGTACCGGATTCGTTTCAAAGTGCTGGTTCAGTGCAGTAAAGAACTCGTGGGCACTCCATGAAACTGCAGAGCGGTCGGGTTAGAACGGATAAAAGGAAGTACTTCTTCACTCAAAGAGTGATTAACACATGGAATTCACTGCCACAGGAAGTGGTGGGTGCTACAAGCATGGACGGCTTCAAAAGGGAATTAGATAAGCATATGGAGCAGAGGTCCATCAGTGGCTATTAGCCACAAGGTATAGCTAGGGGCTCTGGGGCAAGTGATGCTCTGTCTTCTTGGTGCTTGGGGGGGGGTCAACAGTGGGAGGGCTTCTAATGTCCTGGCCCCACTGCTGGATTTCCTGATGGCACTGGTATTTCTGGCCACTGTGTGACACAAAGTGTTGGACTGGATGGGCCTTTGGCCTGATCCAACATTGGCGTCTCTTATGTTCTTATGTTCTTACCTTTAAAGCCCTACATGGTCTGGGTCCAGCTTACCTAAGGGACCGCCTTTCCTCATATGTTCCCCCTCGAGCACTTCGGTCTGGGACCCAACACCTCCTGGCAATGCCAGGTCCCAAAGAGGCCAGGCTGGCCGCTACCAGGGCCAGGGCTTTCTCGGTGGCGGCTCCTACCTGGTGGAATGAGCTCCCGGAGGAGACCCGGGCCCTGCGGGACCTTATGCAGTTCCGCAGGGCCTGTAAGACGGAGCTCTTCCACCAGGCGTATGAGTAGGAGCCGCAACTAACATCACCGCTATCCCATCTCTACCTGGCCCTGGATGAGGTGAACATCAGTCCCTGGAGCAGATGAGCCTGAACAGTTATAAAAAATGCCATCTGATATTATGTTGAACATCTAGAGCACCCCAGTCTTTGATTGTTATGAATGCTTTTGTACTGTAGGATTTATAAATGTTTTTAAAGTTGTTTTATATTGGCGTTTGCCACTTGTAAGCCGCCCTGAGCCCGCATTGCGGGGAGGGCGGGGTATAAATTGAATTAAATAAATAAACAAACAGAGTCACCTTTCATGTTCTATCTGTATTTTAGGAATGAAGTTTCAAAACACTTTTGGGACTCCAAGCAGCAGCAATCTGATGAGTCAGGAATTCATTACGGTTGATGGGACATCTTGAAGCATCACACTCTGCTCAAGAGCAGCTGTTGCCAGTGTTCCCTATAAGCTGAGTTAGTGTGAGCTAGCTCACCGTTCTTTAGCCTCCGGCTCACACATTTTTGTCTTAGCTCAGGAAAGATGGCTCCAGAGCAAACTAATTTATGCAGTAGCCAAATCGCTCACTCACAATTTAAATGCCAGTAGCTCACAAAGTAGAATTTTTGCTCACAAGGCTCCACAGCTTAGAGGGAGCATTGGCTGTTGCAATATCCATGTGAAAGCCAGGAACTACAAAGCTCTATGGAGTTCCTGTAGCTCTCTTGAGACAGGGTGGGGGGAAAGTCTATACTTACGCAGGTATGTCGTCAAACATCATAAAGACGCCAATTATGAAGACCAGTGTCCCCACTATAGCTGCTGGAAAGAGCCATCCAGTGTAGAAACCTAAAACAGCAGAGGCAAAGGCAGCACTGAAACAGCAGAAGCAACCCAACTCCACAATGCCATTCCAGAACACACGATTTGAAGGGGATCCTCAGCTTCAGGAATAGTGGAGGACTTTAAATCTGGCAGTCATACTTGACAAATTACTTCCACCAGGTAATTACATAACTGTTAGATGCATGGTGATGGTGGGAAATGTGCTTGAGCTGTACGATGTCGCTATGAAGCCCCCATGGTTGTTGGCCTCTCTTTCCTTCTCCACCTTAGCTCTGGGATCAGCTTTTCCCTGCCAGAAATGTAGTTTCAGGCCATCTCCACAACAAAAATTTAACATAGATAGGAAAGTGGCAGGATTGGACACCACATCACCCTGATCTCATCCTAGTCAGTGAAAAAACAATGCCTCAGAGAGATCCAGACTTACTGGGGCTTTCAGATCATTAACCAGGACTTTTCCTGATAAAGGTGCCTTCTGACACAATATGTCATTATTGCATTAGCATTCTTACTAACAAAGACCCAAGCCGCATATTAGCATTTTTGGCCAGGTTTTTTCTCCCTTCATGACCCAATACTTATAGATGAGAACTACTTCTGACTCGCAATGTTTTCACAAAGTAGCCAAAACTGCCTCTAACATGCAACCTCCTCACTCCAAACTTCCCTTCCTTTCCTCATCAATATATCTAATTCTTAACATGGCCCCATGTGAGGATACTTAAACCCAGAGATTGGGGCCATGGAATGACGAGACATCTTTCTATGAACCCAAGAAAAGGCCTAAAGTTTGCATAAAAATCTGAAATCCACAAAAACAAAAAACTTGGGGGGGTTAAAAAACCCCATGATAAAAGGAGTGCCAGTAGCTTTACGACACAGATGCCCTCAGTGGCCATTGCTAGGCAACCACAACAGTATTCTAGCCTTGGTTTCTGTCAGGAAAAGGCAGGGGGACAAGGAGGGGCCCTTTCCAGGGCTGCTTTGGAGTTTGAGGGAGGACTCTGGGACCCCATTGTGGAGAAAAGTTGGGGTGAAAGGGAAAGCAAATAATAAATATAGCTGAAGGTGGGGATCAGATAAAAGATAGGGTGGTGGGCAATGCTCCCTCTAAGCTGTGGAGTCTTGTGAGCAAAAATTCTGCTTTGTGAGCTACGGGCATTAAAGTTGTGAGCGAGCGATTTGGCTACTGCATAAATTAGTTTGCTCTGGAGCCATCCCTTCCTGAGCCGAGACAAAAATGTGTGAGCCGGAGGCTAAAAAACTGTGAGTTAGCTCACACTAACTCAGCTTAGAGGGAACACTGGTGGTGGGTGGGTGTGAAGGAGAGCGGGAGGCAGGAAAAGTTAAGTACCCCCAAGTCCTTGAAGGTTCCTCGCAGCGAAACTGAGCCAGGCTTAGATGGCACTCCACAACTTGGCCAGACCTTTCCCTGGGAGAAGGTGCTATGGGGAGGGAAGGAGGGAAAGCTGATGACAGGAGGGCAAATAGAGTGGGAAGTATCAAAGGAAGCAGAAAAAGGAGAGAGGCTATAGGGGCTGTCCTGGAAGGCAAAGAGGAAATAGTGGGCGAGGGGAAAATGAGATACCCCTTGTGGGTCCCTCACTTGTTCGTATCAAAATTCATAATATGGCAACTTTCAGGCCATGGGAACTCCTTCCTTCTCACCTTCCACCTATCAGGAGTACAACCTCTGAGCTTAGCTGGACTTTCCTCCTCTTTCTCAAGCAGGGGAAGGGGGGAACCTTTTGTTGAGTTTCTATCCTTGTAACAGGAGCCTGAATCTGATCCAAAGTGTGTACTTCTGCTGATCTCATTCCTAAGCATAGAAAGCCATGTGGCATGCTTTCCTTGCTTTTCTGTTTGAGACCATACCTTGAATGCTGGAAAAGACACTTCTGACTGTTTCTAAACTGTCCCCTTTATTATTTATGATGATTTCCTTTGGGATTATTGGCTGCCCAAACATCTGGGATCCCATCTCTGCTTGATGATCTGGATCTCTGCTTGGGAAATCTACACTAATAGTTAGCTACAAGCGGGGACCCGCAAGAAACTTGTGGGAGCAGCTATCCCATTCCCACCTTTGCTTCCTCCCCACTCCCCCTACTTCTCTCA